TGGTTTATTTCTATTTATTATGTTACTACCTTAAATGCAAATTACTTGTAATTAATGAACGGTTACCTGCACGAATGGAAAGTGTCCAGTGCAAATTCAATTTACTATATATTATGCAAACATTGCGTTCATTGAATGCCATATATTTAGAGATCTATGACTATAACGTCACCTATTGGTCAAAGTTTTTGTTTATTGTATGGACACAAGTTGGCCTGTTCATGACTATCATTATATACCAGGTCATATTTCTGAATTATAACCTACTGGTGAGAGTCATAATATTTTACGGCATAGTTCTGTATTCAATGGTATTTCTCGGTATACTATACATGACATCGACTGTCAATTGGGAGGCAAACAAAACGCGCGAAATATTTTTGAAATATTTTCATAAACTTAAATAAATTCACCATTATAATTTATAACACATGTATAATTAAACCAAAAATACAATTTATAAATAAAATATATGCAATGTAAGGTTGCAGAGACTAATATATTTCACTTAAATCTTTCATGAAAAATAAAATCGACTTTATTTTTGAAACATTATTAACTATTTAGTAAGTGTATTTAAAAAATAATAAGTAATATGTTAAGTTACAGTTTGAATTATAACATAATTCTTAACAATAATGAGAATAAACAAAATTTAATTCAGTATCATCTCATTATACAGTACAGTATTTTATTAACTGAAATCTAGACAAATAAAAAATTTCAATAACAATCAAACAATTATTATGTTAGCTATAAAATATTATCTATGTTTTTGCAAAATGGTAGATAAAGATCCCAATGTAAATTTTATTATTTTAGCCTAACAATTTAACATTATATAAAATATAAATTACTTCTTATAAATAAATTTGTTCAATAAGTTTATAACTAAAATAACAATTTCTTACTATATTAAAGTTAAATAATAAAACCTTGTTATATTTTGTGCACGAATAAAATATAATTATGTTCATAGTGAATAATATTACCATTTATATTATAAACAACTGGTATTTCATAGTAATTATTTAAATACTAACATTTAATGTGATAGTATCATAGTGTAGCAAAATGAATTACAAAAAATTACACAATCTTTCATCTCGCCAACTTGTAAATAATTTATTAAAGTTAGCATAATTTAAATTTAATTAAAAAAAATTTTAAATTTACAGTTTTAAAATCTATATTTTATAATTCTAAATATTAAGTTTTATAGGTTATAGTGATAAGCCTATTTGTATTAATCGTTTATTTTAAATCTGTTGTTAATAACGAATCAAATAAACCTATTGTAATATTTATCATTAATTATACAGAAAATAAATAAATGATTAGATAATTGAAATAATAGCTATTGTTTTTATTATACTCTATTTCAAAAATAATATTCTATAATGCTAACTTATAAAAAAGAATACGTATAGAAAATATATTATACATAAAGTATTTCATAGTTTTATACCAAACTACTGGTGCCATAGAGACAGTGAGGGAGGTAAAGCCATTATCCTTGAAATCTAGTCTAACATTACATAAGAGGGACAAAACATTTCACACAATCTGTAGACTAATACTAATGTAAATAAAGGGTTACTTTGAAAATGGCTTCAAATACACCAAACACTACATTAACTACCGATGAGTTTGAATCACTGATACAATCGGTGGACAGACACCAAAATGAGGGAAAGGTATTTGTGGACAAACTTCCCATCGAGTCTACCGTATACGTAGAGCCTAAGAGCGCAGGTAGTCGTACGGAACGGGTGTTTCACTTTCACATCGATGGCCAACAAAACTATTCAACGGATAAAGAGTTACCAAAACTATTATCACCGCAAAAGTGGTCTCAACTAAAGGGCCGGTACTTGAAGTCGGGTTTCGATGAGTGTCTCAGAGATAATAAACTAATCGCTGTTTACGAGGACTATTGGCACCAGAAATGGCTTCACTTTCTCAACGCTATTGATGAAAATGCTTTGATTACTAAACATAAGCCACAGTTTGTCTCATTTGGTGGACCGGTAGCTGATATTATGGCCACACGTTATGATAATGCGTTCAATTGGACGGTAACTGCTTTAATGGTTAAAGGTATGTTACTTTTAATTAATAAATTACCTGTACTATATTACTGTATAATGTAAAATAATAATAAAACTAACAATATTTAACTATTCATTCTATATTAAAATAATGTTTAAAGATATGAATTATTAGCAAGTTATTTTACAAATATCAACTTTTTATGTAAAGTATAATTATCAACTTGTTAACTTTAATTAGATTTAATACTAATAAGTGCTTGTTAAAATATAAGCAACACAAAACTTTTAAGATTAAAAATAATCAACAAACTTACTATTAAAAGTTTACCTTGTTAACACTATACATAAAAATTGACCAGGGACAATCTATCTGCTCAAAACTGGACCTCAAAGGTCAACATCATTTGAGTACAACGACTGGAAATACAGTGCACTCAATATGTATCACATGATCACTGATAGGGACGACAACCGGAAGAATGAATACGAGAAACACTTTGCCATCAATTGTCTGGACGTGGAGTCGCACCGACTATTAACCCTCAACGAAGTCAGAGCCGTAGACGATAAGCACCGGGAGGTCGACCTAAAAATATCAAAACCTGCCCGCACGGCATGGGAACGCAACTACTTTACCGGCAAAAAGTTACTAAGATTTTGGTGCAAAGGTTGGGTGCAGGGAATGGATCGGGTAGTCGTGGCTAACATTCATAAACAAAATAACTATAAGGTGTTGGACGTGGAGGCCAGGGATGTGTCCCGTATGCTCGGCCAGTCTCAGGGCAAGTGGTCCGACAGAAAGTGTATTGAATTTCTGAATAGTTTTCTAACTTTTGTGAAAACATGTATTACTGACGAGAATACTGTCTATGAATTTGATTACAAGACGGACAGGGAGTTCGTTGAATGCAAGTCCTATACTAAAGGGTCGGACATCCAGAGTATTGATACACTTCTGAGGGATGGACTTAAAATTTCTGATTAAATTGATCTTGGTAAATTATGCGAGAATGTAATCCTTTTAATAATTATCATAAACTTAAACACATTTTTAGTAGAAATATCGTATAATCTTATAAATGCTATTTAGTCAAATGACATAACATGTCTATTATGATCTCGATAATTGCTTATTTACATTTTAAATGTGTTATTATAATACGATAATGTTACTGTATTAATATAATAATAATGCTAATACTGTATTATTAATGTTTTTAAAGCTGTAATTGTTTATCTAAATTGACAGATATTTTATAGATATTTTTTTTAAATTAATTTTAGAAACCAACAAAAGTAAAATATTTTTTTGTAATACAAAACGTGTACAGTATATATCCGAACGATTTTAAATTGTAATATCTTTTTAATTTTACAATTTAAAATTAAGTTTAATATTTCAAATGATAGACTGTTTATTAGATTTCAATATAAAACCTTAGTAAATAAAATATCTATAAGGGTACCGACAATAAAGCCACTGACAAGAGATAACTGCATTATTTCATTTTCCAGTCAATGGGCTTTATATAGTGGTACTCTTTTCTTATATAAACAGTCGCAACATTAAAACATTTAAATTATTACATTTTCATTGAATTTGTCATCAAAATAGTATTCATCTTAAAGACTGAGATTTAAATGACATGTTTATCAGTGTGTTTGGTCTCACAAGCCAGATCTTATAAAATCATAGTTATTCAAAACGTATAAATGTCTGAAAAAATGAAAAAGGGGAGTTACGGGAACTTCGGGTGACCAGAAATGTTTGGCCATTATTATGTTTAAATTACCTGTACCATTTAATGATCATAATATTGATAAACATATTGCAAGTGTTTGTTTCAAATTAAAATATTTCTGTATTGTTATAAATTTTTTATAAAATAAATCGTTCGGATATATACTGTACACGTTTTGTATAATACTTAAATTGAACATTTTAATTAATGATTTAGTTAACTATTGTTTGATTACTTTTAACCATTTCGATTCTTTGTTTTTAAAAATTAATAAGTTTCAAAATGATATTTTTCTATGATAGAAATAATTCAGTTTTGAAAGTTATATGATAATTTTATAAATAAAAATATTTTTTGACTTTTTTAACATGTGTAAACCAATTTGTTTAACTTTTATAATAAATTAAAATTTTGGTGGTTATAGCAATATTTAACAAATTAACATCGAAATAATAATAATATTTTCTTGATTTTCAAATGGTTATAATTCTGCATAAAACCTATTTATAATATAATGATTTAGTGTCAAATTATAAAATTAAATAACGACAATAATATGATATACCAATCATAAACCACTTCAAAATGTTAAAATTATATAGTATGGTGTAACAGTTACACTGTAACTACATTTTAGCACAATATTTACAGTTTGTATTACAAACTTTGTAATGATATTTGAAAATGTTATATTTCTTAATTCACTATTTTGTAAACATTTAATGTAGTATGCTAGTAAATCATTAAAAAAGTAAATTAGAATTAAAAACATGATAAGATTACATTATAGCATATTACTAGTATTGTTAGTAAATAGTTTGAAAAAATATTTACAAAAACTGTTTTACTTTAATTAACATTTATATTATAATAATAAGAATTATTCATAGGTTTGTTGAATGCATACAATTTTAAATTAATAATAAAATATATTTTCATATATATTATGTATTAATTTATTTGAATATAGTCTATTCTACGTAATTTAGTTTTATGCGTTACTATATATACTATTAACACGACAATGACCACGATAATAGCTATTAAACCAATTGATGGTAACGAAATGTTTACTATTTTCCAGGTTAGCCGCAAGTTAGCTTGATGAATCATTATCTCCTTAACCCTGGTCTCCCAATTACGCCAATAAACACCGTTTCCCACATACAAAACAACCCAGGTCTGGTTGCCAGAATAATTATCCATAATATAATCAGCAATATATTTCTCCTTGGTGCACGTGGTCCCATGAATTGTCACATTTACCCCGGTCGTATTCCACGCGATAAATGAATAGTTGAATTGTTTTGGCAACCAATAACCAAGCTCACGTGAAAAGTCTTTACAATTGCCCGTGAACGATTTGTACTTAGGGCGCCAGGGCATTGACTTAATGGTTTGAATTACGCTGGTCACTTTATCATACACATAGCACGTATTCCGATTAATAAGGCGTGTCACTTTGGTGTATCGGCCCCAGTCGACAATCACCCCTTTTGGATGAAACTCGGCGGTCAGGTATTTAACGGACTGATCAGGGCACATTACTTTCATTTGTCTGGACGTGTGCGAGTAATCCTGATTACGTATCTTATAATTACTAAAAAATAGCGGTATAAATCTGAACGGAAAACGTAATATTCCGATCACCTTGGACACAAACTCGGATGATTGTGGTGTATCAAGCTCCACTATTTCAAACACAGTGCCATCTAAGCATGGTTTATTTTCTGTCTCGAAACCCCCGTATTTTCTGGTGTCTGTATTGTCCGATGCCCTAGCACAGTCCACTAGAATTACCAACACACTTATTACTACGATTAGTCTGATCATAATTTAAAATTTAATTATTACTTAAATTTTATTATTCATGTATTTTTAACTTACACTTTCATATAACTTTGTAAACAAAATTACTATAAAATATAAATTACATGATGCTCGTGTATATTGTATATAAATTTGGTCTTGTGATCCATGCTTGGTGATAGTAACTATGATACGCATAATATGATATCATAAAATCTGCATGTTTATATAACATTAATTATCTAACATTGAACAGTGGACTAAATAAATATGTTTTAAGAAGCTTATCCTAAAATAAGTAAAATCACTGCCGATATAAAGTTACATATATTATAGTCCAAAGGGTGGGTGCAGAGAATGGGTTAGATAGTGGCGACTAATATTACAGTAATAAACATTATTACTATAAAGTGGTGGACCTGGAGGTCAGGGATGTGTTACATATTCCCGGGCAGTCTCAGAGCAAATGATCCCTCAGAAAGTGTATTGAATTTGTGAATAGTTGTGAAAAACATGTATTACTGACGAGACTAATGTCATCACTAATGTTATTATTATAAATTTACAATTGTCTTTTAATGAAACTAGGTAATTTCAAAAATTGTAATTTTAACATCATTTATAATCATAGAATAAATATTTTTTATAAACTGTTATAAAATATTGTTATGTTTTATAGTTTTATAATTTGTTTAATATTTTATAATTTGGATTTTATGTGTTATATACTGTATATTATATTATTTTCAAATATAAAGTTTTATATAAAAATAAAAGTAATAAACTTTAATCAATTGATCTAAAAATTTATTACTTTTATTTTTATATAAAACTTTATATTTGACAATAATATAATATACAGTATATAATACATAAAATCCAGATTCTATCCAGATAATAAAGATAAAATCATCTTTAATTAAATTATATTAATATTAACTAATACTGTACTCGATTAATTTCGACTTGATCAATTAATAAATCAGTTTACGTTTAAAATATCATATCCATATACAGTATTTTAGGCAATGTATTGAAATTAAAGCAATTTTTCAGTAGTTGATCTCATTTTGGTCTACCAGATATACCTTCTATGACATGTGTAATTCAAATAATATATACCATTCAGGGGCTACCACACAGGTCATGGTTATAAGCTTACTACTTTTTATTAAAATATTGCATAGATTAATTTATACCTTCAAAGTCAATTTCTTTAAACGCGATATCAATATCGTATTTTGTCCGATAAACTGTGCCAAAACCACCTGATCCAATATCAAGTAAATCATCATGGTCAAAAAATCTTAACGAGTTAACCAGTGTATTATAAGATAGTTGACATTTATTAGCATAGAATTCAGTGAAATTATTACATTCAGTCTCACATAAACTATTTGTTGTAGACAAAATTTCATGAACTTTTTCATTTATTAATACAGTAACTTGCTTATAATTATGCGAATAAAATTGTGACAATTCCTGAACATAAGTATCAGTTAACTTTATTGGTGTTGCTTGCTTAATTGTCTCATTAGTACCGCAAAAATACAATAAGCCAGAGTTTGTCAAAAAATATGTCATATCCAGCGACGTTGTAATAGTCTTGATGTCATTTAACAGGGATATTAAATACGGAGTATATATACAATCAGTGGACATATTGTGTCCCAATTGGTGGTCACTATTATGACCCCAACTAAACACATATTCATCAAAAGTAATGGCAAATGAGTGCAAAAAATGACAATAAACTGACAGTCTTATAATTATACCAAAACTTTAATCGTACTGGCTCACAAATAAAATTTCCATTGGCACCGCAGCCTACCTCACCCTTTATATTACTGCCCCACCCGTACACCAGTCCACCGTAGGTGAGCGCCAGCGAGTGTTTATAACCGCAACTGATTTGCTGGACATCCTTGTCGTCAAAATAGGCAATTCTGTCGGGTTTTAAGTAAACCCTTTTAGGCGTCACCTCGTGAGCTAACTGTCCCACGGCGTTGTTGGCCCAACTGTACACGTGGTTCACGCTATTCATAGCCACCACAAAGTCGTAGCCAACGATAAACTCGTTAATCCTTTCGCCCCTTAATTCGGATATCAATTGCGGCGAAACCACACACTCGTTGTGACCCAACCCTAACCGCCCGCCCCTTATCAGAGCCCATGCCGTACACCGTGTTGTTGATCGCGACGAACAGAATATTCTGTCCAAACATGTCGTCGAAAGCGTTAAATAATAGGATCTTTTGCTTAACACTGGTGTCGATGTTATTAAAGATTTTAATTTTCTCTCTAAACGACGCCATTGTAATATTTTTCTATAATTTGAATTTATATTAATTTAATTAAATAATTTTTAGTTAATTATTAATATTGTGTTATTAATCTTTGTTTTTAAATAATTATCTTATATTTAATTCATTAA